GATGGACAAGAGCGAGTTATAGCTTACGCTAGTCGCTCATTAACAGGCCCCGAAACAAAATACACCGTAACTGAGCAGGAATGCTTAGCCGTTGTGTGGGCCATTATGAAGTTCCGCTGTTACTTGGAGGGCTACCGCTTCACAGTAATAAGGGACCATAGGGCCTTAAGGTGGCTTCATAACATGAAAGACCCGGCTGGAAGGCTAGGGAGATGGAACCTCCGGTTGTTAGAGTACGATTACAAAATCATACACCGGAAGGGCGCGCTTCACCATGTGCCTGACGCCTTGTCACGCGCACCGGAAGGAGCGACGGAGTTGCTCTCGATGGCGGCAGATACGGAAGATAAATGGTATCTCCGGCGCTGTCGAGACGTGGAGAGAATCCCGGGAAAATACCCCACGTGGAAAATTTCCGAAGGATTGTTGTACCACCTGAGGCCGAAAACAATTGCCTCAGTGGACAATCAAGACTTGGACGAGTGGAAATTAGTTCTCCCTCGGGAAATGAGACGTGCCGCAATACGCGAATGCCACGATTTGCCGCAGGCAGGACACCAAGGTGTTGATAAGACCTGCCAACGCTTGGCCAATCAATATTATTGGCCAGCGATGTTTGAGGACGTGATGACGTACGTAAGTGCGTGTCACGAATGCCAGCGCTGCAAAGTGCAACAGCAGGCCCCGATAGGCCAGATAGGACCTCCCGCAATCGAGAAACCCTGGTCGAGAATATCGGCGGATATCATGGGTCCCTTTACGCGTAGTAAAGCAGGACACCAGTATATCCTAGTGATCCAAGACTTCTTTACGAAGTGGATAGAAGTGCGGCCGTTGCGCAAAGCAACCGGTGCGACGATACGGAAAGCATTGGAGGAAACCATTATTTATCGATGGGGAGCTCCACGAGAATTGCTGACCGATAATGGGACCGAGTTCGTGAATAAGGACTTGAGAGAGTTGGCTGCTTCAACTAATATGAAGCACCGAACAACGCCGCCGTATCACCCGCAAGCGAACCCCACTGAAAGAGTGAACCGTTCGCTAAAAGCTATGATACGAGCGTACGTGGATCAGGATCACCGTGATTGGGACTGTCATCTGGATGCATTTCGTTTTGCATATAATACAGCCCAACACAGTTCCCTGAAGGCAACCCCGGCTTTCGTAAATCTCGGGCGAGAGCCAGAGCCAGCGAATTCGCTGCGACGAAAGCTGGAGGGAGAGGTTGAAGTTGAAGAAACTCCAACAGAGGCCTGGGTCGAGCGCATGAAGCGCCATGACACCCTCAGATTGGCCTTTAGGCATGCATTAGCCGAAGCTAATGATCGACAGGCACAACGTTATAACTTGCGCCGAAGGAAGGGAGAATTCGAGGTCGGCGAACTGGTCCTAGTTCGCGGCCACGAGCTGTCGAGTGCTGCAAAGCATCGCTCCGCGTCCTTGAACAAACCGTTCAATGGACCTTTCGTGGTGACCGAGAAACACTCCAGAAACTTTTACCAAGTTTCTGATATGGCGGGTCGTAATACCAAAGACTGTGCTATCGTGGACATGAAGCCCTATAGGGAAGCTTTGGAGGACCCCCCCGACTGAAAAGTCGGAAGGATAGGAATAGTTGCTCCTGGGGGGTTTTTGCTTGAAACGTCTAGGTTTCGGGTCGAAACCTCTCTTAAGGAGGGAGGTATGTAACGAGATTTTCTCGTTACGGGTTGAAATCCCCTTAAAAAGATACATGAACTCTAAAATTGAGACATGAGGCGACATCTAGAGGCGGCTGAAGAAAGCCGCGACTAGATGAACTGAGCGACAAACCGATGAAAGACCTAAGGCATAGCGGTTATGGGTGAAACCGCGACCCCTGGAGGTCTGGAGGACGTTACTAGACTATCGCTATTTTGGAATTCGCCCAGCATGTGCTAGGGGAAAAGGGGCCGACGTACAGGCTGTCCAACTGGGTGATTCCATAGGCTANCCCCCGGGATCCCGTCGGGTTGATTGGTGGGGATAGGGTAACGGAATGACCTATCGTCGCTGAGATATTCAGACTAGGGGAAGAAGGCCCTAGTAAGATTCTGAGTTAGTCGAACGCGGACGCTCGAGCGGGGAAGTCGAAAGGATTTCTCCGAGATATACTGTGGTGTTGGCTTGAAAGATGGCCACGGGAATGGTGGGCGAATAGCTCAGCGCAGCCAGGTGCATAACTGATGGTAGCGAGCGTAGGGGGATGCTCCTGCATCCCCCACAAACGGAAAAAGAGTTATTTCGGAACTCTTAGTGACGACTTTGTTGTTTCCGGCGTTATCCGGCTCGGCGAAACAAATGTCGTGCGCATGGGCCCGTGGGTCTGGAGTAGAGATCGTCCTCCTGTCGACCCGACCATGTGCCGACATTCGAGTACCCGGAGACGGTGACGTGCGATGACCGAAGCGGTAACTGGTGGCCGAGAGTGTGGGTGGTCGTGAAGTGGGTAACAGGGTTCCACTTTGGTCGGATCAGCCTCTCGGCGTCCCAGGCTCTGAGGAGTCCCGGCTGATTCGCATTTAATTCTGAAAACCCTCCCGAGTCGAAATACTCGGGAGGCGAAAGCCTACTGAGAGAGTGAAAAACCCTCCAGGACGAGAGTAAATTCACTTTACATGGATGATTAGGCCGTGAGGCTTAATGTCCAGCCTGAAATAGTGGCTGGTGACGTTTGGCATAAGATACTCCTGGTGGACCTCGCCCACTCTAGCGTGTCACACTGATGCTAGCTGGGCAACCCTTTGCCCGGCCACAAAAGTCCTTTGAGTGGACGAGTTTGCCTCAGAGGCCAGTTTTCGTCGAACCTCCCGTGAAGGTTCGGCTGGCGCCCGACTATTGAGCGATAGAGACGGCTAAAAAGTAGTTTGGATTTTTCCTGGGTGAACAACCCGGGAAAATATCCTTACAGCTTATTTACATGGTCTTGCCTCTCCTTTAGACATTGAAAACCAGTTTTATAATTGATTCGAATATGGAAATTTTCCAGTACATATTCAACAGGAAATCACCAGCAAAATTAGAAGGATCATCTGTGTATCATCAACCGGTCTTCACTCATATCATAAATTTCCATTTGGGTTCCGAGAAATGCCTTCTCCGGACAATTCCAACCGATGAACGGATGAATCGTAACTCATGGAATTGAAGAAGACAAATATACATGAAAAGTAATCATCAGTTCCCCTTTAAACTTCCACCCTAGATGGCTTGATTTTTCATAACTTATAAATATGGCCTTAATAATTTTGAAATATTCTTGGTCATTAAAAACAGATATGGGATAATTTATGATACAAAATTCATCAACTAAGGAATCGAAATGAGGAATGAAAAATATCAAAGGCTGGATGAATTACAGACAATCAGCAGAAGGATCTTTTTATTCAACTCTTTTAGAATTTTGCTCATTTCGTAGGGCGGAGCAAGGCCCTTCCTGCTCAATCCAGCAAGAAATTCTGCTCGATGTACTTGATATATAGGCCAGTGCCAGAGCACATGATCAAAATCTTCCGGATTATCACATTCACAAGACGATGACTCTCTGATTCTAATCCTTTTCAAGCAGCTGGCTTGGTGATGATGATTAGCCCTAGCCCTATTAATCCATGTAATGGTTCTCCGTGAAAGATTATTATGACGAACATACCATCGTTTCTTACTTTCTTTATAATACAATCTAAAATATTCAGACCAATTATCTTTATTTCTATGATTCCTAAGTTCCGCTACTTTGTCTGCTGTGATGGTGTGAGCCTCCCTCCTGAACCCCTCTGTGAAGTCAGAGAAGGCAAGCTTCACTCCGTTATCGGGTGGTTGAGTTGTAGCGTCATCCGCCAGGCGATCAGCCTCCTCATTTCCATCAACACCCACGTGAGATGGAATCCACGTAAATTTGATAAGATTTGGCGATGTGTTGAGGGTGGACAATTCTTTACATCTCTTTTTAACATCCAGTACATACTTATTTGCTCTAATGTTCATAATTGGTTTTGACAGATATTGAAGAGTACTGAGCGAGTCACTAACAATGCAAAAACTGTGTTCAGAATGATCGATTACTATTTTCATAGCTTCGGAAAGTGCCAAGCGTTCGGCGGTATAGATAGAAGCAACAGGGTTCAGACTAAGACTTGTTTTGATATCAAAATGAGGACAGTAGTAGACCACTCTTTCTTAAAAGTTTAATAAATACGTAGTTTAATGGAATGTTGTAGTCAGGGTGAGTATTTCAAACAAAACAAAATTTAAACAAATATATATATAAAACTTGAAAAAAATATATTTTTGTCGATTTTTTAGAGATAAAAAAGAGATGCATAATTTTCGATCCTAAACAAAAATTATCCGTATTGCTAAGGTTAGGGTTATCCCTGACAAAGCAGATTTCTGACAAGAAAGCTAACATCCTTTTTTCAGAGCGATAGCATAATTCTCAAACATAACGTAACCAAAATAATAATCCGTGATCTATGATTCACTAATCTTCCGTTAAGATCATCCATGTGTGTAATAGGAAACATGTTATTATAATAGTATTTTTTCAGTATCGCAGTGGAATAGAGAATCATTAATTTTCCACTTCCATCACACCATCTATGTTTAGCAATTCAGTGATAATTCTAAAACGTGGAAGTGCTTAATATTCATTACCGCAATCTTTTCATCTAATCTCAGTTTAATTATCCACGAATAACAGAGATGAGTATCCGAGTCAGTGTGGATGATTGCGAACAGCAGTACAGTTTGGAAATAATGTCACAGTTGAAGGATAAATTCTGAGGAGAAAAAAGAAACTTTTGAGAATGGCTAGAGAGACATGCGATTCGAGTAAGCATTACGGCTAAGGATGAAGCTTAATAGATCGTAAGCTGCTCTCGAGATGCAGAAACTTTGTATCACATGTCTATCGAACTACGGGAGTGGGAGTATGATTGTCCGATTAGATGATGAAGTCGTGTGAAGGATTCATATAAAGACAAGCGCAACACACAACGACAAATAATACTTGGTAATAGGTTTGGTCTCATATACACGTCAGATTTACGACGTCAGATTACACGTATCACTTGTCCAAGTGCTCAGTTATTTTCATAAAGAAGCTAAAGACGCATTCACACAGTACGTCGGTCATCAGTAGTGAGACCAAACCGCTAATAGCTGTTCTCCACGGTGCATCGGGGCTAATTCGTATTGTAACATATTGAGAAAGACTTCATGGTTGATGAGATCGACCAGATGAATCAGCATGTCCACAACGGAGACTAGTAAGACAAAAAAAACGAGAGTTTGGTCGCAATGGCTGGCGGCATCAACAAGTAAGTCGGTTTATAGAAGAAAGATGCATAGAATATCATATTCAGGGACATATCATTTATCTTGCAGTTCATCTCCTTGCAATACTGGATGGACTAGTTTGTGGATGGGTTTCGCCCTACTTGGCAAAACTGACAGCTGGAACTGAATCATTGAAAATCACCAATGATGAAGCATCGTGGATTGCCTCACTGAGTCGTGTGTCTCAACTACTGGGTTCGATCCTTGCAGCTGTCATTGTATACAAAATCGGGGCTAAGAAGGCGGTTTTTTTCGCCGGGGTTCCTTATGTCATCGGATGGTCGTGCTTCTTAATCCAAGAGTCAGTTTTGTCCATTTACATCGCCAGGATAATCAACGGTTTCGCTATAGGGATGTTTCTGAGCACTTTCCCGCTTTATATCGGCGAAATTTCCAAACCAAAGATCAGAGGTGCCCTCATAAGTGCAATCGCCCAGGGAGCAGGCATTGGAAGTCTATTGGGGAATTGCTTGGGTGCATATCTACCTATGACGACCTTTGCTATTATAGGCCTTATAATGAGTATCGTTTTCTTGCTTTCTTTCTACCTTATTCCGGATAGTTCACATTACCTAGTTAAGAGGAACAAGCTTAAGGAAGCAGAAAAATCGTTGAAGTGGTACAATCGTCAAAAAGATGTGGGAGATGAGCTGGGCGCATTGATAGCATACATAGGAAAACCGCAGAAATTATCTCGGAAAGAGGCATTCAAGCAAATCTTAATACCTCTGAATAGAAAACTTTTGATCATAATTCTCTGTATTCTCGTCTTCACGAATCTCAGTGGCGTCTTCGTAATCCAAATGTACATGGAAATCCTTTTAACGGCTCTCAAGATTAAGATCATCTCTCCATCTCTGGTCGTGATATGTGTGGGAATAGTTGCAATCATTAGCGGTCTTCTGACCATGTACACGAATGATCACTTTGGGAGACGAACTATGCTTGCAGTTTCTGCCCTGGGGGTTTCCGTTACATTCTTTCTCATAGGTGCTAAATTTCTGTTGGTCAACCGTGGTTATGATATTTCGAGTGTTCAATGGTTAATTATTGCCGAATTCATGATATACATATTCTTTGTAAATGTCGGAATCGTGAATATTCCATACTGCCTCTTGAGCGAAATTTTTCCGACAGAATTCAAAGAGATTGGCGCATCCACGGCGAATGTTGTGAGCTCTATTGCAGCATTCGTCGCAGGTAAAAGCTATCAGTCTGTATTAGATGCTACCTCCGAAGAATTCATATTCTTCTTCTATGGTTCTATTTTATTCTTTATGTTCATCTATACGATTCTTGTTGTCCCAGAAACGAAGGGTAAGTCGCTTCAAGAAATTCAGAACATGTTTACACAGAAAAATAAACGAATGTCGAATTCAAGAAATGATTCATTAATCGCTACATCGCCAAGGTAGCGATTTCGGCCTTTCTCGTACTTCATACACTGATAGACTGCTTCATTTATTCCAAACGAAATTCGTTAACTATTAACGAATGGTAGAGTTGAATATGACCAAATGAATATTCGTTAATAGTGAATGAATGGTTCACTTGAAAAGTGAAAATCGAGTCAAACAAGGCACCTCAAATATGCATTTGTTAACTATTAATGAATGAACGTTTGGTGAGACCGAATAGACCCGCGTCTTCAATCAAATCCATACGTTAACAATAACTAATCCTTTGTATCAGTGTAAAAATAATTAAAAAATGGTTCGTAACTTTGATTTTACGAAAGACGAAGATTGTAATAGGAACATCATGTCCGTGAAGAACAACCTAGTTCTAATTTTCTGAATATGTTACGAAATAGTTAGGACTCCTCATATTCGTCTCATTCAGTCTAAACATTAACATCATACCGATTATATTTAATATATATTGTGACAGGTTTTTCCCATCATGGCTATAAAATTTTCTGACACTCACAACTTGTTATTTTTTTGCCGGAACCCAAAACCAGTTTCAGACCAATAATTCAATTATGATAATATTCAACTATCAATAAATCCAATTTTGCAATAATTATCAGCGGAATCGGATAGAAAAATCAGATGCGTGTCATCAACCGGTTTTTATTTTGATTGCGGAGATTCTCTGCAGTTATTCATGCAAGGACGTCCAAGAACGTCTCGAGAACATTCATTAGAAGTAATATTGTCGAGTGCCTTGAAGAAAACAACTTCAATCACTATGTAGCATCGTACTGCCACGTGGATCTGACAGGAAAGTTTCAATGAGAGAAGAAATAAATAAAGTGAAGAAAATAGGGAAAACTCGCGCTCTAGCTTCCCAACCTCCCTCGTAAAAGCACGCAGTAGAGCATTCCGTACAGTAGACTCCCTTTATAGTCGCACTCATGAGGGAATAGGGGAAGCAAATTTGAAGAATCCGACTGTATTTCGCTATCCCCACCACGCGCTCATGCGGGGCGAGATTTCTGAGAACTGGAGCCATAAAATTCAAATACTAAGGATTTAATTTTCCTTTTATTAAATTGAGTGCTTTATGAAATAATTATAATCATTCACCCAAAAATAAGTCGTCCTGAATCAAGCCGAAAAATCGGTCGTAATTAAGTCGTACTGAATCAAGTCAGACTCGGACAGATACAAACCGGAATATCGGTCTGATTCAAGTCGAAATTCGTTCAAAAAAATTAGTGGAAACTGTACATTTCAATTCAGTTATTGCATGAAAATTTATTAAAATCAAGAAAATTCTAGTAAGTAACAGTCTGAAATTTTTAATAAATTGAAAATATTGCGTAATTTCGTACTGGATACTCATTTTCGGTTTGATAATTCAAGTTAAATGAGCAATTCTCATTTTTTTTTTGTCTAAAAAATCTAGAATTTCATTAATTTTTCAGCCATAATGCCCTGCGTGTTCGAAAATTTTCTACGATTTTGGAGCACAAGCGGCATTCTATTGGATTATTTCCTCATCTGAATTTCGACCGTTAGAAATATTGACGTTCTTGCGGCATAAAGCCATATTCATACCAGATCTTCATTTCTTTATTTTCTTTATTCTGATTTATTATCTAATTCACCTTATCCCAACAAACCTACGATTTTGGAGCGCAAGAGGTATTCTATTAGATTACTCCTTCATCTGAATTTCGACCGATAGAAATATTTACGTTTTTGCGGCAAAAAGCCATATTTATACCAGATCTTCATTTATTTATTTTCTTTATTCTGATTTATTATCTAATTCACCCTATCCCAACAAAAAGAGGACCTCTCTCAATAACAGTCAAGAGGGAACTGAATTTCATGATCGAAAAATCATATTTACAGTTTTTCATTTTTCGGCTTTCCTGGAATTGCGAGACAATGCCTCCTCGAATCGGGTATATAATATTTCGGAACCAGGAATCTGGGATCCTATATTCTGAAATCCGGAATATTATATCTTCAATTCCGGAACAATATTCCGAAGACTTCTTCGCATTGAAATACATTGCGTCTATAAGGGATGGCATGTACTGACGACGTGACGTCCAAATTTAAGTAAATTTAAGTAAATTAATTTCATTTTTCAATTTAATTAATAATTTTTAGTAAATTAAAATCGTGAGGGGTGTTCACAAGACTCAAACGAGACTTTACTTTGAAGTGATCGTCTCGGTCTTCGTGAACACGGAGACTTTTGGTCTTGCCACAGTCCCAAAAGAGGCAGTATCGGCTCTTCTCGTGATGACTCACAGTCAGTTTAGCTCATCTCGGTCTCAAGTTTTTCGTGCTTCTTCAATGTAAACTCTCGGTTAAAATCTGTCGTCTCGTCTCGGTCTTTTACACATAAAAAACGCGAAAAACTTGAAACCGAGATGGGATAAATTGACTGTGAGCCATCATGAGAAGAGCCGATACTGCCTCTTTTGAGATTGTGACGATAGCGAGAGTATCCGTGATCACCAAGACCAACACGATCCCTCCAAAGTGAAGTCTCGTTTTAGTCTCGTGGGCAGCCCCAATTAAAATCGAACGGCACGCCGTCAGTACATGCCATCTCTTATAGAGGCAACATATTTTAATGCGAGGAAGTCCCCGGAATATAATTCCGAAATTGATAATAAAATATTCGGATTCCGAAATATTATTCTGGATTCTGGCAATATATTATTACGGGTTCCGGTATATTATTTCGGATTCCAGAATATAAGATCCCGGATTCCGGAATACAGATATTCCTGATTCCGGGATATTATATACCCAATTCAGGAATCTTTTTTTTCCGTGTAGAGTGTTTACCCCGAGGCATGTGGGTACTAGAATGGGGTAAGCGACCGAGGGACGAAAAATCATTATGAGCGAAAATACGACTATAACGCGTACGACTATAACGGGAGTCTACTATGGCGTGGGGCATGGGGCTCGCTGGTAACCACAGCTGGAATCGCTTCGCAAGTGTATCCCATACGCACCTCCACACAGCATCCTTTTATGTCGACAAGATTATGGCAGATTTCGCAATAAGTTTTATAGGTTTCATTGAAATATCAAGTACAAAAAGTGACAGTCAGAAAGAAATGCAGAATTGTGAATAAAATGGAGTAGAAAATTTTCAGAATATGAAAATTTGGTATTGAGTTTTGGATGCCCTAACTTTACTCCAGACGTTCTGATTGAGTGACAAAATAGCATTGAATAAAAATACTCGTAACCATTTTTCTACATGATTACGACTTTTGTAGATCGACTGAACCTCCCTCAATTCCTCGAATTTTCATATTTATTCCCTATTATTGTTCATTGACTAATCAAAATCTCAGATCTGAAGAGAAATAGTGGAATCTTGATAGTTACTATGGTATGAAAAACCTTTCTTCTGTGGGGAAAAGCAATAGCTGCAAAAACCGGATAAAACCTCGATCGAATTTTCATTCTTACCGCGAAGAACTTCACAATGTGTTCAAATATATTGTATTAACAAATGCGGGGATTGACCCTCTGTAGCACAGCAGTATTGAGTGGTGAGCCCGCTACGCTCCTTACAGTAACTATCACCGTAATGTATAATCTCGCATGACAAACCCGCAACAAAGTGACTAGGCAGTTTATTATTTTTCTTATTATTTTGTATGTTTCATTAGAGAGCAATTCTATGAATTATCAATTTGAATAATATTTTTTTGACACTGCTGCTACGTTCACCTCGTGTCAAAAAGTCCCTTTTCGTTTAGTTGTTAACGAAAAAAGGCATAGTTTGCTACTCGTTGAACGTAACATCACTGGCAAAAAGTATTCGACATATGTGAGACAGGAATTTTCAGATCATGTGATTGACAGCCCTCGGTTTCACCTCGAGCCGCCAACTTCACAAGTGTAGAAGTTCCACCTCACTCGTATTGAAATATACTATTTCCCGTTTATAATCGATGTATAGATCGTATAATTATTCATATTGTGACTTGAAAATAGTATTAATAAATTTAATTTAAGTAATTCTGTGATGAAAAGAAATATCGATATTGATGAATACTCGAAATTTAATACTGCAAGGTAACGGGCCTATAATTTCTAACATATTCTTCATTTATGAATTAAAGAAAATATCATCTTGAAGACTGAATACTCTCACAATGCGTTGCACACAATAAATACGAATTTATTCAGTACGATATGACTTCAATTTTAAATGAAATATCACAATTAATAATTCGAGGCGAGTGAATAAGATGTTCATTATGCGTATCGGAGTTATACGAAACTACTACCAACGTCCGATTCTCATCTCTTCATTCAATTCGAATAGCAAATCCCAAGATCAGAGGTGGTCTCATCGGTCTAGTAGGCCTGGGATCAGCCATTGGATACCAATTGGGAAATTTGATGGGGGCATATCTACGTACGAAGAACTTTGCCACTACAAATCTTGTATCGACGGAACGATACTTCTGAGCTAACAATTAAGATCACTCAGATGAATTCAAGACTAATATTTTATTTTTTAATTTATAGGCTAAAATTGAATTGTAGATTTTTTTGTTTTTAGATTGAATTATTTAATTAAATTTGTAGTATTTACAGTTTCATTGTTTTGCTTTTGTTTTGCTAACAATTTCTGACTGTTATGTGTAATTTAAAAGTACAATCTCAGTGGTTGCTTGATTTTAGAAGAACAATTATTTCGTTGTTTTCTGACTTATTCCATCGATGAAATCATGTTTGAATGACTGGTTGAATTCATAAAAGAAATTCAATGTTTGCTTGAGTTAATTTTCGATTGGAAAATGATTTAAAATTCAGTTGAGTATTTCACAGGGATATTTTCAGTATGACTGGGCGAACGTTTGTGTATTTGGGTTGACAACTGGTCAAGTACTGACTATTCTCCCTTCCGCGTGCTGCTGTGACGCGTCCCTCAGGATAGGTTTCAGGTATAAATCCCATTGCAGGGGCGTTTTCAAGTATTAAATACATTCTTACATAAGGTGGACAAGTTAGCGACAGTTTTTCTGTTCAACTCAAGCCCGAGAAATACTCAAATGTTACAATTGATG